CCCCCAAAACCCCAAAACCCCAGAAGTTAAAAATCACTTGACTTTTACAAATTAAAAAAACTTTTATTTAATTTTGAACAAAAATAAATTCTTAAAATAATTAATGAAATCATAGTAACCTTGTAAGGGTGGAGTGTTTTTTTCGTAGAAGAAGAAAAAATCTGTAGCTTTAAATAGAACAGATCTTGAGGATTCATTAAACCTGGTTATTCATAGAAACCCTAACAGTAAAAGTAAGCATGATTTAATGTGATAGTTTCAGAAACTTTCAAGGATAGGCTACACATGAAGTCATCGATGTCAAGAAGAGATAATTTATCGAGCACTGGCAAATTCACAAATACATAGTTTAGCAACAGCCAAAATTAAATGATAGAGGAACTATCTGGCTAGTAAATGAAATATCACACTAAAGAAATTCCCATTAAATATTACAATAATAGCTAAAGATTTAATCACTCAATGATTTAGAACAGCCATGGATCTCAGGGCAACATTAATGATATAAAAAATGTTGTTAATAGCAGTATGCTATTTCTCAATAATACCAATATCCTAAAAAACAATCAATCTGCAATAAGCACTCAAAATCACAAAATAATTGTTCACTAGTAATTAAGTTAAGAGTCTCAGAGTCTCATTCAAGGCCACGAAAATAACTCTTTAGAATAAAAATCTTTAAATAAGGATTTCAATGACTAATCATTGAACAATGGTTCAGTTGTAACATCCTATATTCCAAAGCATAATTATAAATTTTAGCAGTGAAGAGGATCTAATGATACTTAAAATAGAATTGACGATGCTTAGAGTAGTCTTGATAATCCTATTAAGTTATTGCACGCCAATGATAGTCTAGGGCTAGATGATTAAATACAGAGGGTAAGAAAGGTAGAAGAAGTACTAATCAATATACAGCCAAGCAATTAAAATGGTGTTTTGCATAAAAATAGAGGCCGAGCAGGCTAGAATTTAATATATAAAAATTCGATGAATAGATCAAATAGGAGTTAAATAAGCAATTAAAAAGGCTAGTTTTAAGGGAGATAACAAACATAGAATAAAAGGATCTCGCATTATCATTCAAATCAGTATAAAATGAATGAACCTACCAAGTCTCTTGTATCAGATAAAGGAAAAGATTAAAAAATGATGATTATTGAAGACTTCGATTAATTTCCAATTTACTAAGGTTTAAATGATAAGCGTAATTCCCACAGTAGACCAACCAATAATTAGAACTTCATAAAAATAAATGAAAACAGCAATACATAATCAGAAAGAAATGATTCATTGAAGCAGTATCAACAGTATCAAATACAATAGCAAGATATTTATATAGGAAATTATCAATAAGACTACAACTTTTCCCCTGATCTAAAACAAAAATATAGCAGTATTGAGACAGATGAATAGAATCAAATCAATTTTGAGCATCTATAGATGCATTAGATACATCCTGAGCTTAATCCTAATGACATTCAGTAATACATTAACGCTGAGCATCATTAAATGACAAATTCTGTGAGAGATCATTAACCTAATTTGAAAGCATTAGATAACATAGAACAAGCTTAATATTTGAATAATTAGGTTACAGGAAATACTATAATAAATATAAATTCAGATAGTGATCCAAAAATAAAAAGACCACAAACTGCTATTCAACCTTATAAAAGGAGGGCTTTGAAATCAAGATAGCTTTTAAGTCGATAGGGGATTTCAAGCAAAAAGACTTTCAAAGATGATGGTAATGGGATTAGTAGTAATAATCCACGATCACTTCAAAAGCATTCAAGCATTGACCAATGCTTTCCAACTAATTTAAATAGAGTTGCTTTTGGTACAGTTTAAAAAGCATTTGTAAAGCCTTTAGCTTTCAAATATGGAGCTTAGTTTAAAAATAAGTCTGAGGAGGCGAGGTATCACAAAATATCCTCTTAAATTTTGAAACTAAGACATTTACTAATCAATGATCCACCTTCTTCACATGAGTATATATTCAAGTTCTTGAAGTAATTTTTTTCTTTGGAATAAATCAGTAGCTTCACTGATGATGGATTAAGAAACTTTATTTAAGCTATTATTGAAGTTAGAATACTTGATCCCAATATGAAAGTAGAAAACTTCATCAAATAGAGTATGAAGGGATAAAAATTACTAACTTAGCCTAGCTAATAATAGGATAATGAAGAGGATATTGAATAAAGTAAATCTGTATTGATTACATAGAACAGATATGGGTCTGTAGGAAAATTTGAGAAGGGTAACTTTATAACACACAGGAATAGATTGAATAGCAATACAGCTGTTAAGATAAGTTCTAATAAGCTTGAAATTTCCTCATCTAGTCCAATCATGAACAATACAGATGTCATTTAATCAAGGACTCTACTAAATAATATTCAATATCAAAAGAATTCACAGTCTCCTTCTGTACCAAGATTTAATATTTCTGACAACAAATCAGTTATAACAAAGAGTACCAAGCAGAATAACTAGTCAAGGACAACTGGATTTTCAAGAAATCTTGAGGTATAACATTCATCAGCTTCCCCAGTGAAATACATAATGTATAGTCCTCTATCTGGAAAACCAGAACCTTTTGTTAAAAATATCAAAATTCCAAAACTTGGACCAGTAAGCTTAAACAGATAGTAGTAGGATGGAAGCTCTCCAAATCCTAAAAAGATGATTTACAACTACATTAATCAGCAAGAAATCAGAATAGCCTATGAGATTTAACCACCCAGTTGCAAGGAGCCGAGGAAAGAATGCTAACTTAGTTTGCTTAGTGAAATTGAGGGTTACAATCCATCGTAAATATAAAATGATTCAATATTATTTAGAATGAAAGATTTGAAGTCAAAGTACACCAAAGATGGAATAATGAGACGTAATAAACTACTTCTTGAGCATATTTTAGTAAAAATTGTAGAAGTTTAACATTACTATAGCATGAACGTTTGGAAAAATCCATTTCCACAATAAACTACTACAAAGGTTTCGCTTATTAAAATTAGGCTTAGAATCCAGAGTCAAGTTCTGAGTAAAATAATGAGCAGCAGCAGAAGGAATGGTCAAATTTTATCATAAATAATGAATAGTAATAGATTTACAATCAAAACTGAATATTTAAAAAGTAACTTTACTTAATAATTAGCATCCAATTCTACTTGATGGGGTTTTGGGGTTTTGGGGTTTTGGGGTTTTGGGG